TCATCAGCATCAGCATGCTCGAAATAGCTTAAAACCAAAAAATCATAAAATTCTGGGAAATTCGCATTTTCGGCCTCGGAAAGTCAACTTTGTCGTCGAGCCGATTTCGGGGAAAAAAAAATTTGAGCCTCGATTCGGTACGCAGAATGGCGATTAGAAAAGTAACTCACCTCTGTTGATCAACGTTGACATGGATATCCGTTATTTGAATAATTATGAACTTGTGAAGATGTTGAAACATTAGGAAGGTGTATTGATTCTGAATATCTCTTTTTCTTTTGGTTTTTAATTGTTTGAGAGTTACATCATGTTCTCCTTATTCCGAGCATAAACTTTGAGTGCCATTCATTGTTTTGACTTTATCCATTTCAAAGTTCGCATCCGCGATGCGATCTAAAAAGTAGAATCAAAACTTCTTCTTTTGAGTGTTTTTGTGCAACCGGCTCGCATGAAACAGCGTTAGAAAATGATTTTAAATTCTACTGCCAACGCGTCTCTGAACTTCCGACGTGGCGCCCGTGGAATTAGCATATTAATGTAATCGTTGCTCATCTAACGAATGTTGTTAACTACTTATTCTCCAGAACTATGAAAATATTCACATTCACTTTATTTTCAGTTGGAAGAAGTTTCGAAAGCCTTCATTAATAAACAATTAGAATGCTTGAATTCGAGATCGAGTCAGGAACTCGAACTGTTCTCCAAATGTACCATGAGGTTTTATGAAACATTGGCTTCAATCTCAACATTTGCAAGACAGAATAAGTGGGTTTTGAAAACAAGTGCATATCAAATGAAAAGTTCAGTGTTCTTTCACTTCGTCTGCATAATTATGAGTTGTGGTTCGCTTCTCTGACAGTCTACTGGACATTCTCATGGAGACAGTTGAGTACAAAAATGGTTTGCACATCTACTTATTCAAATGAAGAAAAGTGATGATTGCAGGTTGAGCGAACAATTTCGTTGGAAGATGATGACTGTGAGCTCAATAAATCCGAGCAGAAGCGACCTTTGCCCAGTGGAATTTACTCTTTTCTGTGTATACAAAAAGGTTTGCTTCATTTGAATTTGACGACTCATAAGATATACTGTTTGAAGGTTTATCCGATGATTACACCACGCTGGCCTTCCATCTTCCTCAAAATATTCACACAGCGACCATTTCCCTAATTAATGTAAAGCATTCCGATGAAGTTCTTTGTGAGGTTGCCCTTCATATTTTCAGATTTTTTGTGAAAACACTCATTCCTATGCTCGCAAGTTATTCACAGAATCTTTGAGTAAAGATGAAAAGGTTTTGTTATTCTTGACGAAACTTATTTGTCAAACTGAAATTTCAGATTGAACATCGAGTAGTTCGAGCTATAAATGGAATTGAACAAGCTACTGATTATATAAGTGAAAGATGGAAGATCTTTGTGAGATGGGAGGTGCAGCAGCCGAAGTTATCGATTGATGAATCTGAAAGCATTATGAAGTTTGTGGAAACGGCTTTGTCCAGTACTAAATCCGTTAGAGAGTTCAAGGTGTTCAAAACACATAATTGACATGTTTTCAGAGGTGCAATCAGTTGATGAGTTCACTAGTTAAGCGTTACATGAAAATCTTGAAAGATGGAATAGTTCGAATAGCGAGACTGATAACATTGGACTCAGCCGAGTACATGAAAGCCTTCGTAAGTTGAGCATATTTCCTCTGTCACCTTATGAGTATTTTAAAGAAATCCTATCGGCGTGACATCAGTCCACTGGAAAGACTGAACTCCATTATTGATTCCTTCGATTGCATAATTGATAAAGTGAGAGCTCAATTACTTCCAAGGTAAATCTGCTTTCATGCTATCTCCCCCCCTCTCTCTTTCTCTTTCGCTCTCTCCTCTGCCCCTTATTCATTCCGAACACGAAGTAGTTTTGCAGATCTTTCTCCATTGCTCTGGGCATTCTTTTCGAGGACTTGGAAAGAGAGATCGAGAAACATCTCAAATCATGTCAGCCACCCGAGTATTATCGGAATATTTATGTAAATTTTAGATGGTTTAAGCTTCGTTAATGAATAAAAGATTCAGATATCAATTAAAGCTATAATGGACTTATTGGAATTGCCAATCAATAAATCAAAGCTCATAAACACATTGCATTACAGGTTATCACATATCTCCATACTTAAAGGTCTAATTCATTTTCGTTTCAGAAGTTTTTCGACTCAAGAACTCATCCTATCATACTTCTCACACTTATGTGACTTAGCCAATGATGATCAGCAATATCAGAATGCAAATAAGAATTGTCCGTTCATTCAGGTTCAAACAGGATATTTGAGGACATGCTCATCCAATATGCTCATTCTCGTCAATGGTAATGTCCTTTACTTCTCAATCCACTAATCCCTACCTTCAGTTAGGGAGATTATCAACCTGCCAGTGCTCAACCCTCTATATGATCGTATGGACTTATATGTAAAACTCGAATTCTTCCCTCGAGTAATTTTCCCTGAAGCTAGCTTCCCTCCACAAAAAACAAAAATACTTTCGTCATATAAGGATCGAACGTGGAATCAAACATTCCAATTGTGAGCAGTGTATAGCTTGTGAACAGTCTTTGTTAATTCGATCTCGTTTCAGCCTGATTCCTGAGAACAATTTCTATATGTACGGAGTGTCCCTCTGCATTTCCGTTTTTGACCATTCTAGGTAAATATTCTGTTTCTCTCTTTTTCTCTCTCTCTATAGCTGTTGTGCTGCCATGACTGCATCATTTCCTTCTCAAATCTTCCTGTGTAGACTATCTCGGCAGTCTCTTCTTGCCCTCTTAAGCATTCATGGCAAGAGATCCTCTTTCTTAATTTCCGAGATTATCTTCTCACTTAATTCTCTCTTAAAAGAATAATTTTTTCGTTTTGCGACCATCTCAGCACGTGGGCATGTGAAAGAGACAGAGAAATTGGACGGAAGATTCCTTTCCTCACATAAGTAATATTGTTTAAGACTTTGCGATCAATTACTCGGAAGAACATTCGTCTCCGTTTCTCGTCTGCCGCTATTGCAAACAACGTCAGTTCAATCAAATGATATTGTCAGTTATGCCCTTTTGCGTCCAACAATCGGCCATTCGCATCCATTCTTTCAAGTAAGTTCATTTCAAATACAAAATCGCACTGTAATGAGCGCCGAAATAATTCAATTACATTTCTATTTGCTGTCGTCATCATTGTTCCAGATGTTGAAAGATCGTGGCAAGTACGATGACGCTGCCAAGAAGTTTTTGTCACGTGAACATACGGCACGTGAAATGTACGTGAAAATCAAACGGCTGTCCAGCAAGATTGCAATGAAGAAAAAAGTTTTCCAGCTAAAATGAAAATAATAAAAGCGAATAAAAAATTTTTTTTTCAATTTTCACGTCTTCCGCACAAAGCGCTCGTGACTTCCTCAGATGATGCTGTCATTTGCCGCTTTTTATGCAAATTAAAGACGAAATTTGCATAATTTGCTTGAAAAATAAATAAAAAATTGAAAAAAAAATAAAAAAGATTTGATGACGGCTCATCGTCACCGATCTCTTTGCTCCTTATCACCGTCGTGTTGCGTTTGGAGTGTTTTGGGCACTCAACCTCTCAGCACTTCCTCTCAGCTTTTCCTCTCATTTTCTATTTGTGTCAATTTTGCCATTGAATTTCCACTTTATCATCAAAACGCCTGACAATCATTCTCTCCACCTCCTTCTATACCTCTATCTCTCTCTGCCTGCTCGCTCTCCCTCCTTGACTCTCTCTTCACATTCTTCCCTCTCATTTTTTATTTTCGTAGATAATCATCGACCACAATTCATATTTGACAAAATTTTTTTTATTCTGAATCGTCTGACTTGTCCTTTCTGATGGATGGCGCAGAAGAGAATCTCGTCTATCGCTCGAGGCGACATTTTTTTCCTCTTTCTCAATTAAATTAGTTTATAATTAAGTTCTATACGAATAGTTATTAAAAATCTCTCATCAATGCTCTATTATAATTGATTGTTTCGAAAAGATTCTTGATGAGACGAAGAGAGGAACATAGAGAGAGAGAGAGAGGGAGGTGGGGGGGACGGGAGTACGCATGCAAGAGCCAACGGAAAAAAAGAATTTTTTATTTCGTCGACTCTTTTTTCTCTCCTTTTTCGTGTGTTGGTGCAAGAAAAGAGAATTTTGACGAAAAGACGTTCATTTATTAGAAAGATCATCTTTCATTTTTGAATAAAATAAGTTGAATAATAGGTAGAAAATATCTTATTACAAGAGAACTTCAACGATGCTCGTTCTCGTTATCTCCCCCCCCCCCTCCTCTTCTCTCTCTCTACATCAGCCTACCCCCTCTCTGCTTATAATTCTGAGAGAGTATAAGTATATATTACAGAATCAGACATAGAATTGAATAAATTATCTACAAAAACTCAAATTGCTCTTTGTAGCTAAGGAGAGAGCCATAGATTAGGCTCTTTGCATGCATATCCTTCGAGAGTGACAGACGACTATAAGAGTTTCGCAGAGAACATGCTTCTCCGAGAGAATATTAGAGAAGTAGAACAAATCTTAAGAAACACAAAAGAAATGATAGGAGGAAAAGCTGAAGATATTGCACGTCATGGATAAGCTTTTCCTTTGAAGAGATTACCTTGAGATCTAATCCGCTCTTGTGCTGACACTCGACAATCCACTTCTCGTTTTTTGCTCCTATTTGGCAATTCAGAAGGTATCCTCATGTGTATGTGTGTGTGTGTGTATGTGTGTGTGTGTGTGTGTGGAATGCTTTATCTTGCCATTCATTCCATGGAATAAGTTAGAATTGATTCGAAAGAGGATTTAAACCTTTGGTAATCTTTACCACAGTTAGATAGAGAGAGAGAGGGAGAGAGAGAGAGAGAGAATGATTGAGTTGTTCTGAGCGGAGTATAATTCACAGATGAAATGTGTTAAGGGCTAAGTGTGAAACTGAAAACATCTGAGATAAAGCGAGAGCAGTGGTCTTCTCGGACAAACACCAAGAGAGAAGTTGTTTTTTCGTTCACAGAGAGGGAGGGAAGAGAAATTTCTTATCAAATATTGATAAGTCACGATGTACTTTTTCCAATATTGATTGATTTCAAAGTTTATAATTAATAATATTTTAACTTCTTTCCCGAAACTCCGCCCCTCTTCGTTTTCTGAGCTTAAAACACAGAAGCTGAAGAAAATTCTTCTTTTTCTCAACATTTTTGTTGGGTGGTCGTTGTTCCTTTTGATTTTTTAAAATTTCTTTTCTTGTGATGTTCGCTGTGGAGGAGAGAGATATTTGCCTTCAGGGTATATGGCTGCTCTCATATCGATATGAGAAGCTTTTAATCATTACATAGTTTTCTAATGTTTTGTTGTGATTGGATGAAAAGGCTTTTTGTCTGAAGGTTGTAATGTTTCCCTTTATTTTTTTTATTAAAAGAGGGAAAATGCGAATGAGAGAGTGTGAGAATGAGAATACAGAGGGAGAGAGAGAGAGAGATATCTGAATAGGAGGGACAAAGAGAGAGAATGAATGAGGCTATTGGAGAGACTGAATGAGTGTAGAAGTAAGTAAGAGAGACAGAGTGAAAGAGAGAGAGAAGCTATGCTTGTTGGAAAAGAGAATAAGGAAAGCCTTATGAAAAGGAAAAGCTTAAAGAAATGAGTGCTTGCATAAGGAGAATGAGAAGGAGAGGATATTCATTTGTACAGTGGGGTGGTGGACAACGTGTTGTTTCATGTATATATTTTACTTTTTGTTCGTTCTCTCCCTCTTTGTAGTCCCTTTCTCTCTCTCTATATGTATGTTCATATCGAATTCTCTCTCTCTTACTCTCTCTCTATCTCTCTATATTCGTACTTCTCAAATAATTTTTTATTTTCTCAGTTTTATATGTGTTGATTAGTTATGCATCAACCACACGACTTTATACGTCACCGAGTTCATCACCATCATCATCTGAATCAATTAAGTAAATATTAATTATTTCTATAACTTATTCATGTTTCCGCTTTTTTCTTTTCTCAGATTCAACTACTTGTCCACTCGGTGGTCAACATGGCGATTTCGGATGGTTTGCTCTTCAATCTTTCATAACCCTCATCAATGTTTCGGCCATATTCGCTAACATCTTTTTCATCGTCATTTGTGTGGTGAGTTTCTGTTTCATTGACAATCTCATTCATGCATCCTCTACTCATGCTCATATGCATAGTATGACCAGTCATCCACATAGCTTCATTGTGATTGGAAGTTAATTTTTTTTGTGTCCAAAAAAATTGTTGAAATACTTGCCAAGCACATGACTGTTCCACGTGCTACCATCTAAAGACGGCTTAGTAGACGGCGGAGAGGTTTTTACGTTAAACAGAGTGTGTACGTATGTGTGTGAGAAGGAAATATGAGGATGATCAGTTCAAGAGACTTAAGAGAATGAATTTCAGAGAGCTGGTGTCATGCATCGTAACATGAGATTGATGTTATCAACGATTTCCATATGTTTCGCGATCAATGCATTAGCCGGCCTTTTATATAATTTTTATTTTTTTTATCTGGGCATCTATGGATTTCCAGCAACATCGTCTACAAGGTAAACGATTTTATTCTTCGTTAAAAATGACATTTTCAAAAATACATTTGACTGAAAGATCATGTGGAACGGAAACGGCATTAATTGCCTTTTTCGTCTCAAAAGCCTCATCATTGCCTGAGGGCATGTTAAGCTCTCCCATTCTTACGTGAACTTTCTGGGAAGATTTCTCTCTGTCCTTCTATCTCTCTCTTACTTCATCCACATCACATATTCAATCTCTCATTCTCTCTCTATCTCTTTCACTCTCTTCCTCTCTCTCTCTCTCAACTATTTCTATTCAGAGCATGTAGGAGATGAAAAAAATTCTTTTTTTCACTCCACCATTTCAATTTCTTTTCATGTCAATCCAATAAGTTTCTATAAAAGGCCAGCGGAGTTGTCGCGAGCTCACAATTAGCCAAATGCAAAAGATAATTGATAGTTCGAAGATGTCTATGAGTGTCTATGAGTGTGTGTGTGTGTAGATGATTGTTAACTATATGATATAGTAATATGTATATATTAATTAGTCACAAGCATGTTTCCTTTATGTCTCCGTCCCCTCATTCTCTCTCTCTTTCTCTCTCTCTCTCTCTCATCATATCCGTTACTCTCATTGCTCTTGTAAGTTTCAAATGAGACACTTGGCATTTGAAGATGCTTTGTATGAAGAAGCTATAAAAGGAGAGAAAAGCCAGAAAATTGAGAATATGCGAATCACGTATCTTTCAAATATTTGATTGAGCCTTCGGCAGAAGAATATTTTATGGTTGGAAGCTAATGAAATCGTAGCATTGTTTGACGTCAAGCTAGAACAAAAACCATTTTGAAACTAACAAAAAATGGCTTTGAAACACTTTGAAACAAACAGTTCACTGGCTTCTTGCAGCATATGGTGTTCTACAATCAACGTGGCTATGGTCCCTTGGGATGCGGCCACATGTCTTCTGATGGTCGGTGTAGGGGCCGAAAGACTCATCGCCACGAAAAGACATATTGCCTCAGGCGTTATCTCTCTCTATGTTAAAGTTTGCAGAAGAGAATATTGAAAGTAACTGATTTCGTTATAATTAAGGCTATTTTCCTGTTGGCTTGGATAGCTGCCATATATGTGACGATCAGCTATGTAATGAATCTTACGTAAGTTCACTTCGATCTTTGAGTACTTAACCATTCGGGAAGTTCCGAATGAACTATAAAGGGAAAGTTCTTTCATTCATCCTCACAAATGCAAATAAACGACCAAGTCACGCTTTATCTCAAAAAGAAAATTACTTTGCCGCTCACGTTGGTCTTACGTGGTTCAAGAATAATTTCCCTTGGGTGAAGAAAAAAGTAAATGTCGTCGTTGTCTGTTGTTGGACAACACTGCTGTCTCTCTTTCTTTCTCTCTTGGGAGAATCGTTCCTGAGACAGAATTTGATCAGTTCACTCCCCAAGTATGTATAGAGGGCATTTCCCACCCTCATCTGGGGTAAGAGACGGTCTCAAGAAGATGCACTTCTTCTCACCGGATGGTGTCAGTCTTCTTCTACTGTTTCAACCTATGACATACGGATCTAATCATGAAAGAGAAGAAATGCAAACTTTTCAGAGACGAAGGGGTCTGCGTATGTGACGGAGCATCGTTAACTGAACGATATGCCATGTTGCTACGTATCTCCATCTGTGCAGTGGTAAGGGCTGAGAGAGAAAATGATGGCAAATTTGAACTATTATCAGGTCGAAGCTGGAACGATATCACTATTTGGTTATGTTTTGATCCTTAGTCGAAGTCAAGCTGATGGCTTAGGAATCAATACAGCGAAATACTCATTGAGTAAGAGATTTCAGGTATGCAAGTTGTTTACAAGCACAAAACTAATTCGTTGTTTGAAGATTTATGAAACATATCGGACAACTCAAATGTTACTACCATCAGCTGTCTTACATGCCGTACTATACTTATCATATTTATGTTTATTAATCCCAATCAGAGATCTGAGGTAACGTTGGCTATCTGTTGCATCTTGTTCACAATCTGAACTATTGTAGAGCAGAAGCTAATTTGACGGTATCAGAATACAACCTTTCAACAATTATCTTCGCCTTTCCATCATTACATGCTCTTGCTCACCCGATTGTCTGTTATTTTCCTACAATTTTTCGATATAATTCTAATTTATAGATATGCCTAAGAAGACATTACTATCTACGTCAACGTGTTGATGACATTATCAAAAAACTTATACCGAAAAGACAAAAAATTGTTATCCAGGTGAGATCAAAAACAAATTTCGGTGCACTCAGAATGATATTGTACGATGTGTGCATGTGTTACTCTTACTCTTTCAGCCCAATATCAAAACAGAAGAAAGTATTAAGCTGAATGATACTCCAGAGCTACATTCCAGTCCAAGGTACACTCAGCTGCAAAGAGCTTACAATTTGATTTTCTTATTGCTCTTTTCTATTTTCAGCTTCAGATCAGAAACGGGACGAATTGAATATCGAATTGCTCCAGAACGGCATGCAGAAATCTTGGAAGCGTTCTGGGAAAAGAAGTAACAACACTAATACTCTTAACCTTTGATGTACAAAATGATGAAAAAAAATCTCTTAATTATCATACCTTAGCCATGTCCCTGTATACAACCGTTCTGCACGCTCTTTACACGTAAAATGAAAACGATTGTAAGTGTATGCGTGTGTGCGTGGATGAGTAGGGTGTGCGTGTGAAAGCCACGTGTGCGTCGCAGATCAACTCATACAGCGTGTGATAAGCTCTTGTACGATAATGAAATTATAATTTTAAAAATAGCCAAATCAAAATAAAATTTGAAAAAAAAAAAAGAAGAAAAAGAAAAAAAACAATAAATTTATTTAAATTAAAAGTTATTTTCTTTCATTTGAAATGATTAGAAGATGAAAAAAAAAGAAGAAAAAAAAAAGAAAACAATGAAAAGAACATATTTCTGAGTAAAGGACATCATACATCATCATATCACATGAGCTCTCCAAGTATGTATCGACTTGAATACAAAGAATAGTATTTATAAATTAATATTCTTTATATAATAAGGAATAATATAAAATATAGTTTTAAAAATAATAATTAATGAAGTATGGATTAAGGCTTTGATATGATATGGGTGGTTGTGAGGGGGTGGATGGAAGCAGGCATACATCTAGTACAATCATCGTTCGAAATTACAAAATGAGCAAAAATCTTAGTAACTGCATGAGTGGTAGAGGAACAAGAGGATGAGATAGAGATTGGTAGCCAAGCAAAACAAAAATTTTTTCAAAAACTTCTCGTTGAAAGTTTATTTTGATGAGATGAGATAAATATATATTTGATTATCGATTAGTTCATTCATTTTCATATTCATACAGCTGCTTATACAGAGGACAGCAGTAACAGCACCAACATGATAGAGCAATCAGCACTGAAAGACGTAAAGATGTCTGAAGAAATTATTTTGTGAACGATATACCTGCTACAAGGACTATTGAAGCTATGATAATTGCTATAACTGCTCCTGTAGGAATAGCGAATGGGCAGCAGGAAGGTTTCCAACTTCCCATATACGGCCATGTACAGCACCAGTTATAGTTATCCCAGTCAGTTGGTTGAGGGCAATACGCCAGATATCCTTTAAAGGTACTCATTAGCTATTATCTTTGATGTGGTGGTGGTGTCATCATATCTTCAGTCAGAAAGCTTGTCGTTCGTCTACTCTACCTATACACAGTTCCTCTCCTTTGTTAATTCTGATCTCTCTCTCTCTCTCTCTTTCTCTCTCTCTCCTTCATTCACTCCATGTTGTCGATCAGAACCATTACTATGGAAATAAATCCCATAATTGGTCATCTAACATTCATTGATTAAAGCCTAAATCTCCAGGTTATTCCACATATCCCTCTTTCACCATAAGGTCAAAGCCACAAATGAATGCGAAAAAGACTTTTCAGAGTGCAAAACATACTTTTTTAGTTTTGAAATGAAAAAAAAAGTTTTTATGCTTACCATAACCACTTGGACACCAGAAGATTCGTCTGTTTCCTAACCGTCCTTCGATGTACTGCGTGATAGGATCATTGAGAGCTTGAGCATCTGTTACATAAACTGAAAAAATGGATAAGAAGATGTTCCTCTCTTAAGCATTTATCTTACTTAAAGCTGCCAAGGTGCAGAGGAATATCAAAACTGTGAACCTAAGATTCATGGTGCTGAAATATGATTTCGATGAAATACAGGATTGACTGAGAATGAGATAAAAGCTGAAGAAATAATCGATATGATGATGAAGGAATGTCAGATTCCCATGACCATTTAAGGGACTATTCAGACCTTTACAAGGAAGAGAGAGATAGAGTTAGAGAGAGAGAGAGAGAGAAGGAGTGGGCGAGCAGAGAAAGTATGCAATGGAAAAACGTGTGATTCATATTCTTCTTCTTCTGATTGCATACAAAGGATAGTCTGAGGCAAAAAGAGGGAAGAAGACAAAGCTTGTGAAAGGTAGAACTGATAGAACATTCCATATAAGGAGAGGCGAAAGAAGTATTTTGATAAGAAAAATGGGGAACTATCGATTGATCTTTTAGGAAAGTGAATGATGAAGTGATGGCTCATCAGTTTATGTGCGGAGTTTTGGAAAATGAGGAGGAAAAATAAATATTTTCTTCTGTAGGACATAAGGAAATGATTGGTAAAGAGGAAAATAGGAGATATGCATCATTTACATGTTGATAGTGAGTGATAGACAACAAGTAAGAGAGAGAGAGAGAGAGAAGGGTATGAACTGAGTTGTACCGAGAGGAAGATCCTACTAGTTCTAAGCTTTTAAAGGTCAACAGCTCTTGATGAACGTAGGTAATTGGAAAGAACAAATTTTTGCAAACATATAAATAAATGAAACAAATTGCCTGAAACCAATGATGAAAATAAAATTCATTACAGGAGATAAAGAGGGAAAAAGTATAATAGGAGGGTTCGTGGTACGAATATTGATTTGTAAGGGGTTATTCGTCTGTCTGCTTTGAACTGAAGGTGAGAGCAAACACAGGTCGTTTGGAAGGGAACGAAGGAGGTAGGATGAAGGAAAGTGGGAGGGTAGTGGCAGAAGAAGAATAAATACACATACAAAATAGTATACACATGTGAGAGAGAATAGATAATTAGAGAAATTATGTGAGATATGAATTGTGTTGGTGGGGGGTTGAAAGGTGGGGTGGGGAAGGAAAAGCTCCAACCTTTACGGTACGAGAAGTCACAAGGCAAAAACAAGATGAAGTTCAACATTGGATGATAAGTTGCTTCCATCGAGAGAAAGAGAGAGAGAGAGATACACAGATGAGAAGATAGATAAAACATAATGATCATATGAGAGGATTAGAGACATGCACCAAAATTATAGATGATGACTGTAGAAGGGCTTCTACGCCATAGCGGCAGAGCTCATTCAGCTAACTAAGCTGAAGCTTAAGAGCTTTACGTGCGCAGAAGCTGACCTCCTTTGACAATTTTGTAAAGGGGCAAGCAAAATATAATTTTTATAATAAAAGTAAGATAGAGAGAAAGAGAGAGGATGAAGAAGGGAGGTGGAGTGAACAAGAGAGAGAAAGAGGGAAATGGACAGGAATGTAAAGAAGAGGGAGAAAGGAGATATGAAGAAAAAAAAGTACAAAAGACGAAATTTGAATGAGAGAAGGGGGGATGACAAAAGGTGAGCTGAGTCATGGCTTGTCATTTGTGTGTTTCATTTAGTGCCGAACATAGTTTTAATAACAAAGGAGAGAAAGAGAGAGAGAGAAAGAAAAAAAGCAAAATATGTTATAAATTATGAATGGAAATGAAGACATTTGTTTGAAAAATCAGAATTTGAGCTGATGAGAGCACGATGAGCTGCAAGCTCTACCTCTCTCTCTCACTCACTCATCAGATTACCTTGCATGGGGTTGGCGCATAACACGAACGTTTTTGGGAAAGAAGAAAGAGAAGAAGGAAAAATTAATATCTTTGTACTCTCATCATATGTAGCTATGCTTCGTTCATAATTTCTATTTTGACATTTGTTTCTTGATTATATCAAGTATTTCCCTCCATCTCTGCTTATTTACCGTCTCTCCTGTTCATGTGCTCTCTCATAATCGGACACTGTTTTGCCCTCTCTGAATTATAAATACACACCATCAAACCAAGCATTGCAGATACAATTTATAGATGTTGTAGGTAAACAAATGCTTGATGTTTACCAGACAAGGGGATGCAAGACAGTGAGAGAGACATAGAAAGAGAGAGACAGAGAGATAAAGAAGATGATAGAGGGAGAGAGAGAATTGCAGAAAAGGAGGAAAAGCAAGGTCGGAGACTTGTCAGTGACGGTCTGCTTAACATCTTCTTACGAAACAAACGAAATGTTCGAAAGACAAATGAAAAATAAAATATTTTACTAAATCACTCGAACTTAGACAGGAGAAAACAGAGTGAGAGAGAGAAAGAGAGGTTGAGAGAGATAGATGAATATGGAGATCGTCAGAAAGAGCAAAAAAAAAGTTCGAAAATGGCATTTGAGTTGTTGTACTATAGAATGCCGAAAGGAAGTCAAAGTTACATCTCACATATGATACATCAAACATAGCATATGCTAATCATGCCTTTTTAGAACAATCACTTTCTGATGATTGATTAGAACTCGAATGTGAGGAGGTGGACAGTCATTCATCGTCTTCACAGCATCTCAGACAACTTTCATGAAAAACAAGAAGGGAACTTCTTTCCGTTCGGTACTAATGACATCAATCCATGTGCATAGTATCTTTTGTACGAAAGAATTTATTGATTGATGTTCAAAAGGATTTTCATGACACAGACTGACTAAATACATTCCTGTGTATATCAAATGGATATATCGACCGTCGACTCGGACTCGGTATGTTTCAAAACGATTTTTTCGTGAATTTTTTCATTTTTCTTTGTTCTTTTAAGGAAGATGAATGTACTCATCCATCTGTCAGCATATCTATGGAATATGTAGAGAAAGATGAAACTTTCAATGTTTATATAAGACGGGTAATTCACTTTTTATTTTTTTTGAATTACGTTTGGGCATACTCGTGAGGGTACGAAGGTTCATACATGACTAGACTGTCATCACAGAGACAATTGAAACAGATGCACCCAGTCGCAAACTTGAAACTTGTTTCAAAGTGAGCAACAGGCTTCTTCTAGAGACGAATCGTGAGAATGCCAAATCTCTTTTGAATTTAAGTTTCAAACGAATCACTGAGCAGAAGATGATCTTGTGAAGGTAAGAGTTCTTGCTCACGACAATTGATTTGAAAGAGAACAGGAAGTTATAAACACTACTGAATATTCACTAATCTTTTCTTTCATCTACAACTTGGACAAACAATTGAAGCTTACAGATATCAAACTGTCCCTATTTGATATCATATCGCAAGAAATTCTCCAGAGCTGTTCTTTATGTTGTTTGTGGAATCCAGAGATCCACCTGGACAGGAAGAGTTCGGCATATAACATCAGAAGTTTACATTCTTCGTTCTCTTGTTGGTAACATTCAGACGATTCAGGAAATACAGTTAAACCATTCAACAACGATATTCAGAACTTTGGCAGTAGAGAGAGAACTCACAACCATATTCAATGAGTTCTTCAGCTGTCAGATAACTAAAGATCTTCTTCGGCAGACTCTGCTACGAGTTCAATTCTGTGATGTTAACGCTTCGGATGAAGAGGTTTCTCACTCGAAAACAACGATGTACTATCTTCTGATATCTATTTTAAGATTGTTATAGCCGAATGTGACTATTGGGTTAATAATCGTCCTATTCCTACTTTTCACGACTTCATACTCCCTCTCACAATGGCTTCCCCGGTATAGTTCTTCACTCTTGCATAGTCAGTTGTACTCTCGTAGTCCCACCCTCAACTAAGCTCTCCAAATGAAAACATTATCCACCTCGTGGATTCACCGAGAATCTTCCACGTGAAGTTGCTTTTAATAGAAACAAGAGAAATTAGAATATTCTAATGAGCTCACGCGGTGCACTCGGAAAAGGAACGGTATTAGCATATCGATTTATTCATATTTTGCAGGATTTGGGTGAAATTGAGCTCACTTTAACATATCTTCCAACTGCACAACGGCTTAACATAGAACGCATCAAGTTAACGAACTTGAAAACAAACGATGGTTTGCATTTTTTGTGATCCTGCTCAGTATGATGTATTGGTGCTTTCAGAAGTTTATGTCAAAGCCTTCCTATATGAGAATCAGATAGTTCGTGAGATACATGAATCAGGTTAATATACTCTTGTTCTCATCAAATACAATGTTTATCAGAAAAGAAACACATGATTGATAATCAAAAAGGGACTACTTTCAAACGATTTTTTTTCAATTTGCCTCATAATAACAAATGGACTTCTGTATTAGTTATACAAGCTTTGCATGAGTACTCATTACTTTCATATTCAATATCATTATAATCATTTTAAGACATTCAATAATTGGCCAATTCGGTTTGTCTGATTCAACCAGCAGTTGTGATCATACAGTCTGGAAGAAGATAATGGCCTATCCTACTAAACGATTTACTGAAGCTTTCCGTTTAAGACCAGCCGCATAGTATTTCGAAAAACAGTCGTCGACGTACAGAACGGTTGCATTCAAAAATTACGATTATCATGAACTTTCTAATTCCTTGTTTTAATTTTTGTTATACTAATCGCTGTTCGCTTCCGTTTTTCTTTTTTTAAATTTTCTCGTCAGGAAAAACAAGTCGCTGGATGCTTGAGGCAGTGTTTGTATGTCCTTTTACAAAACATTAATTTGTCATCCAAAATACCAATGATAATGAAATGAAATTTTCTTCTTTTTTTTTTCTCGAAATAGGAATAACAGAAAAGGAAGAAGAAAATTAAAATTTAAATGAGCTTCCAGCTTATGAAAAGCTGAAAACTGTCATTTGCATATCTGAGAATGAGTGTGATTGTGTATGTGCGTATGTAGGTGTGTGTATACCTGAGCCGCTTGTTTGTCTGTATCATCGTCTATCACTTATTCGACTGTGCTTTCGTTACAGGCATTTTTGTCGTTTACAAGTTATCTATCACAGAAATATTATTTTTCTTTTTTTTTTCGTAATTTTCCTAATTTAGGCTCATGATGTCATTAATGGAAATACTTTAGACGCGTTTTGACCTTTAACAAGTCATTACACTTGTGGAGAGTGAGGTGAATACGAATTTTAATAGTAATACATATAGTATTTAATGTATTATATATAACAGAGTAGCTAGCAGAATCTTTGTTAGATGTTGAAACAAAAGAGTTTTTCTTTTCTGCTTTCTTGTTCTTCAACTGCTTCATCAAAGTTCGTCTTTAGCGATTATCATAAACAAATAATTTCATTAGAATATCATCGACGATCTGTTTCTGAGGCTTTTTCATTTCCTCTTCCCTCTCTCTCTCTCTCTTTCTCTCTTTCTCTTTCTTTCTTTGCTTCCAATCTGAATGTCATAAGTGGCCCTAGGCTATTTTGGTGCCAATTAAGCGATACAACCGTTTTTGATGTCTTAAAAGTGCTTAAATGAATCTGTTGTTCAGTACACGCGTTCACGTGAGAAGTTTGCACGTGGAATTATGCAAATATCGGATGATGTTAGTAATATTTGAAGAAAAAAACGAAGAGAAGGAGAAGAGAAAGATTAATTCTTTTCGTAATCTTTCTGAGACGAAAAACTTTTTATTTGAATGTTATAGCACAACTTGAAAATATGCTAATTTCATGCTCAAAAATATCTTTTACTATGATTAAGTTGAATGTGTTGTGTAGTTAGGAATTAACGAAAATATTATGTTCTTATTCATCTATCATTTCAGCGTTCCTCTTGCTACACAGAAAGAACACGAACTTAACAAGCGATTGAGATAGATGTCTTCCGACGATAAACTCGCGGAAGCTTCGAAGAGTTCCAATGAAACTCTTCATGAAATGCCATCGATTGAATGGATGGTCCTACATCATCTATTCATTATCGTCTTCACTCTATTCGGAAATATTTTACTAATTTTTGTAATTTTCAAAAACAATCAAATGGTTCGACGGAAACGCGTGACTCCTGTACAGGCAAGTAATTCGTTTTTTTGTTTCCTTATATGGTCATTTTGTAAATTCTCTCATCGGATGCATTTTACAAATTATTTTTGTTTTTTTCAGATTTTGATGTTGCACATGTGTGCGGCGGATATCTTGTTTGCTGTCATCACCATGATTCCTACTATGATCATGACCATAACTGTTCCATTTTTTTTCGGACCGAATTTTCTTTGTAAACTCACCAAGCTGTTACAGGTATATGGGTTACTCTTATATGTTGTTTTAACTTGACTGCTTGAGGTGTTTCCGATGTATGCCAGTTCCTTCCTTCTTGTTGCAATCAGTGCTGATCGATATCAGGTTCAGAAATATTCGAATATCAGAATAAATTCAATATTTCAGGCGATTTGTCGTCCCTTGGCCTCAATGCGGTCAGCTTACAACCGTCCTTCGATGTATGCAGTATTGGCTTGGTCGGCTGCTTTCATTTTCTCAACTCCACAACTATCGCTGTTTCAAAAGAAAAATGGTGATTGCATGGGAGCATATACCAGTCCCATACAGGCAAATAGAACCTTTCTGCATAATAATAATATACGTATAATTACTATTACAGTATACCATATATGTGATTGTCTTCAATGTTCTGGTGTGGTTACTACCTTCGGCAATTGCTGGTTTTTTATATTATCAAGTTTGCAAAGCTGTATGGCAGAGCACAAGCTTCACATCAAACCTGCGATCAGAAACTCCGCAAAGGTTCGTGTCCTCACTCCATCGCCAATATATATATATATATGGGTTATTTACAGAACTTCATCAACGGAGGAGCGAAGTTTAGAGCTCTCTCCATCACAACAACTATATTCACAACAGAAAGGTTTATTTTTCAGTTCCTTCTCTCAAAAAAAAAAAGAATTGTTATCTTCAAATTAATCATTTGTTCTTCAGGCGGAATTTTGCAATGTCTTGAGCTGGATAGACGCCGTGTTCAGACAGTCAAGTTAACATTGACCATCGTAGCGGCTAATTTCCTTCTATGGACTCCTTTCTGTTTGATATCGATAATCGACGCAGTCTGGCCATATGCCATTAGTATGTTGTCAATATGGAAATTTGAAAATGGTTTCCTTTTCCGATCCGACATTTGCGACGTACATAATGTTTTTCGGGAATCTGAACAGTTGTATGAATCCATGGATATGGTTCTATTTCAATCAACCGCAAATGCGTAGAGCTTTATCTTGTTATTTCGGATCAAAACCCACAATGAGGTTTGTGTTTTCTGTTTATTCTCCGAAGAAAACATTCATGCAATGGGAAAGAGTGCTCGTAGGATGAAGGAAGAGCTTCCTTCACGTTGTGCTAACGTATACTCTTCATTGACTATAACAGGAATCTCTTTTTCCAATTTTCCTCGAATCTTTCTAATACCTCTAATCTCTGCATTTCCGAACGGAACGAAAATTATACACGATATCTTCGAGACATTTCATTTCAAACTATTCTCATACTGTTCATGTTTTCAATCTTTTCAGTCTTCGCCGTGTTTTGGATGCAAACACTGAATGCACTTATGATACTCAAAACTATTCTGAATCTAAGATTAATACATCGGGTAGCTGGGCGACTCAACAACAAATATGAAAATATAATTTTATGCTGAAGCTTATAATTAAGATTGACACACACTCACAATAAATTTGTTTCCGCCACATTTTCCAAAAGAGAGATTATAGACCTAACCACAGAGATTGGAAAAATTAGAATGCAAAAGATTCTCCCCGGCCGGGAATTGAACCCGGGTCTCGCATGTGACAGACGCGGATACTCACCACTATACTACCGAGGATCTGTTCAACTAGTTTCACGAATGTATTACCAATGTACAATGATAAATTGACAAGATTCTTTTGTTTTTGAGCTTTTTAAGTGCTCGAATCATATATGGAGCTAGTTAGATCGATAATACATACTAGCAGAACAATAATTACAAACATTTTCAACATGTCGGACCCATTTGGCCGAACTTCTAACTGAACTCGACCATTCTTGGACGCAAAACATTTCCCACGTGACATTGGCCACTCAGTTGTTTATACTTTTTTTGTTTGCTCTTTCAAACAAGGTTAAGGTTTATAAACAGGTTGTTTTCTGAGAATTTATATGAATAATTCATTCAAAAGACTTTCCAACGTTGCGCAATTTAGGTGCCCCTGACGTCTTTTTCACTGCTTGCGCAATTTACGTTTTGATGCAACTCTTACATTTTCAAAACTTTAATTTATATGTCTCGTCGTTTCATTTTTATCGAGGAAGATTGTCTAAAGTAGAAAAATAATTCTTTCCAGTAGAACATGCGTCCTCTTTCCTTAAAAGGACACGATCGTGCTTTGACTCGGGTCCGCTTCAACAGAGAAGGAGATCTCCTCTTCACTGCTGCAAAAAATAAATCTCCCTGTGTGTGGTTCACAGAAAATGGAGAGAGAATAGGTTAATCATGATAGTCAGTACCTTCTAATTTTTTTATTCGCAGGAACATATGACGGACACAACGGAGTAGTCTGGGATCTCGATGTATCCTATGATTCCACCCGAATGGGAACCGCCTCCGGAGATAACTCAATCAAGGTAAATTTCCTATTGCTTGAGGAATATTAATGAGCTCTTATTCTATAGATTTGGGATTGTGAAACCGGAAGCAACCTTCATACCATCAACATTCCAACTCCTGGTAAAGCCGTTAACCTTTCCTACTCAGGTTAGTTGGCAATGAACGATAATGAATACATCAATTGTATTTAGGAAATTTGGTTGCCTATGCCACAATGAAAATGACCAAGAACTTGTCCGTTCTGGCTATTTTGGATACCCGTGATCCTCAGCAAATGACTACAGGAGTTGAATCACCCTTGTTCAGGTTGTCATATGAAAGACTTCTCGTTGTTGATTTCCATGTTTTAGTGCCCAATCAGAACAATCCGCTACTTGCTGTATCTTCAACAGTTTGGATGACAAAGTAACTGTTGGATATGACAACACCGGAAGACTACTCCAGTACGATCTCCGTAAGGATGATGAGCCAATCGCTTCTAACGAAAGTGTCCACCGTGTAAGAACATAGTGTTCGAGTATTCAATATATTGCCTAATTTCAGCAAGGTATCACTGATATGCAACTCTCTCCTGATGGAACTTTCATCATCACTTCATCTCGCGACAAAACCGCTGCTCTTCTTGATGTCAACACTTTGGAACACTTGAAAACTTACAGGTTTCGTTAACACGATCTTTGTGTCATACAACTTCCATTCAGATCTGAGAGACCCGTCAACTCAGCTTGTATTTCCCCTATTCGTGATCATATTTGTCTTGGAGGAGGAGAAGACGCTATGATGGTCAGGAGATATAGCTTTAATCTTATTTAATAATACTTTACAGGTAACACAAACTGCTGTATCCGCTGGTCATTTCGAAGCTAAATTGTATCATTTGGTCTTCGAGGAGGAGTTCGCTCGATTCAAGGTTTTTTCTTTTTTCTTTAAAAAAGTTATCGGTCGATTACTTTGCATTTGCAATAATTTCTTATCAGTCCAGCTGTTATCTATTTTATCCCAACTCAAATATGCTTTGTTTGATTAAGAAAAAGTTACAGTAAAAAGGAATTACAAGTAATTGTTTCCAGGGTCATTTCGGTCCAATTAATACCATGGCTTGGCATCCAGATGGAACCACACTAGTAACAGGAGGAGAAGACGGTTACGTTCGAGTGCAAACTTTCGATGATGATTATCTTGAATTTAAATATGATTATTAAGAATCGTTTTGTTTTTTGTCCTTGTTGGTTTGTTTGTTACAATTTAATGTGTTCGGTTGGGAGTAAATCGCTCTTCAGAAGATCCAAGATTTGTCGAAGTAAAGGCCTCTTGATGTTCCTTTGTTGCTGGTTAAGAACCATAAAGTATATCGAGATTTCAAATATTCATTGGCACAAATCAGAATCATTCAAAATACAGTTTGGGAGAACTAGAAATGATCAAGACGCTTACAACTATGAGATAGTGAAAGAAAGCACTTCGCACGTAATGAATCGGCTTCTCCACGGTGTCATGATTGATCCTGGTTGTGACGATCAGAGCCATAGCAATTGCGATCTGTAATTATGTGAGAATGTGAAAGAGAATGAATGAGGTTGAACTGACGGGTAATAAGTATCTGGCCTCATGGAAATCTAATCCTTGTGTATGCTGTAATGATACTACTGTCCAAACGAAGAAATGAAGGAAAAGAGCAGCTCCAACTATGGTGAGGCTGGATGCAAATCTCCATAATCTACATGTTGGGAAGTGCAGCAGAGAAACTAGAGCCGGTATGACAATGGCAGGTGCATAGAACAGTGTGCTGTTCTAGAATGTATGTGTTAAAGCATATAAAAAAATCAAGTGCCTACTTCAAACTTGGACAAAGAATAAGCTAACAGACCAACTGATACAGCTGAACGGATAGTAGTTTCCATTTCGAGGGAGTACTTAGAGCAAGCTGTAACTATTAGTTTGAGCGAAGTTATCACCGTTAAATAAGCAATAAGTTGTCTTTTTTAATTGTCAAGTACCTTATCTAATCAATGTACGCAGCTAGAGAAATAGAGAAAAATAGTGGAAGGGGAGGAGAATGAAAGACGTAATAGACGCACCCTGTGCCTCCTGTAAAATTCCCGTTTGTCCTTGGCGACCTTTTTCTTGCCCAAGTCTATTCTATATATGGCGCATCGTGACCTGATCTTCCGAAAGTAATTATGAATTATACTTTTGAGGTGAATGATGGAAAGCAAAATGAAATTATAGAAATATCTCACGTAACTCTTCTATTCCTTGATACTTTCCACGCTGAGTTGCAACGTGACTGTGGAAATTTTTCATTTTTTGAGTGTTAGTCGCACACACCGGTTGCATTCGAATTTTTTTGTTCAAAACTAATTTTTGCAGATTTCGATGAGGATGGAGATCGCATTTCAGTCAAAACAGACGAGGACTTCGCTGCTTTTGTTGAATCACTTCGTGATGACGTTAGTAATCGCATATGGCTAGGTGCAATAGCTTACATAACTTCGTTGATTATGTTTGTGTTTAGTCAAGAATGAAGTCAAGGATGAGTCTATTCCTATCATATTACCCGGTGATTTAGAGAATCTTGGAGTTATCAACTCCGGACAGTTCGGCACTGTTTACAAGTCGGTTTTTCATTTAATTGATTCGGTTGAGTTAGACTTTCAGGTCTCTTCATCTACCAACAGATCGTATAATTGCTGTTAAAAGTTTGGAGGTTTCCGACCAATCTTCGGACAAAAGTACTGTTTTGCGAGAGATTTCTGTGTTGAAAAAGGTTTTGAAAGATTATATGAAAGGCAATATGAACTTTCCTTTTAAGTGTATGCCATGTAATCACATAGTTGAACTACTGGGTGCTCTGATGGATTTCAATGTACTAATGATATGCTTGGAATTCATGGATTTGGGATCTATTGAGGATTACTGTATGTTTCTCTCTTCCATGTTTCCTCATATATTCGTTTAGTGCCATTACCACTTGATGTTCATCAACAGAGTTGTAAATCGGTGTTCAAAGGCTTGGATCACCTGTGGTCCAACAATATTATGCATCGAGGTGATTCATCCGGCTAATACTTACCCGAATTTCCTCCAAAGATTTGAAACCGGCAAATATTCTTGTGAACACGAATGGATTTATTAAAATCTCCGATTTTGGTGTGTCAAAACATGTAGAACATTCGGTGGCTCGCACATTCGTCGGAACTAAAGCATACATGGCTCCTGAAAGATTGAATGGAGGAGTTTACAAGTGAGTTCTACATTACTCAAGAACATCATTGTGTTTTTCCTTCAGAGTAGAGTCTGACATCTGGAGTTTCGGGTTAACAATTTGGGAAATGTTGTTGGGAGAGTTCCCTCTGAAGAAGTTTATCGATATTAATGTATTCGAAGACTTCTGTAAAATTTCGAGCTTACAAGGTACTATGCTGAAGCCAGAGCTACCTTCAGAACCCGCCTTATCACTTATGATAGAAAATTGGTAAGTTAACTATGGATTTAGTAAGGTTATCACTTTGATTATAGTGTTTGTGTGGATATCTGCTCTCGTTGGGGTCAAGAACAATTGAAGTCATGTGCGTATCTGGAAGAATTGGAGGAAGTCAATATAAATCTTCTGAAAGCCCATTTCCATCAATTCGCCAAATAAATCGTTGTTTCTAAGATTCTGCTTGCCTTTCTGTCCTCTGGCTTGCCTGTGAATATTGTTTGAAGTTTTTGTTGAAATATCTTCTTCATAACGTCGTTTAGTCAAATGAGAAATTTATTTTTGAGACGGGCGAAAGTGCATAATTCTCAAATCTTCTCGGGTAAGAAGTGAAATCAAGAGTGTCAAATGTGAAGTTGTTTAGAATGTGAGTCGTATCAGGAAGACTACGGCAGTGGTTTGACTTACGTTGCAACACCCAAATCCGTTTATGTTTTCAATGCTTCAAATGATGAGGTTGGTGAAAACTGGTAGTTTCTGACACTTCTTTGCATAGGTTACAAAAGTTGTTGATTGGGAAGTGGAGCGATCAGGTTCCAAGTTGTTGAGCTTCCAATTTCTCTTCGACTCAAATGAACTATGTGCTGTTCTCTCTACAGGCTCAATCATACTCATTCGTATTGATGATCAGCAAGTACGCAATGTTGGGGGTCAAAAAATAATATGATAACTGATTCAGTTGGAAGAAGTGGCCTTTGTCGGTTTTGAATGTGATGCAGCGTCATGGAGCTACTCGTTATCCACTCTGGCAGTATCAGATGGGCAAGCTTTGCTTCTGTATGATCGTGATTTCCAAGTGATCGCTGAGAAGTGAGTATCATGAACGTTTTCATAATTTTGTTTGTTCGTTCCAGTAATATATGGACTGAGGAAAGAGGAAGAGATGAACTTGTAAGTGTAGGCTGGGGATCGAAAGAGACTCAATTTCAAGGCAGTGCAGGAAAGGTAAGCTCTGTTCTATTCAGTTCCGTTTCCATAGTTGGCTTTCAGCTTTCTGCTCGTAAAAAAGTTGAAACAGTGGTTGAGAAACTCGTACAGGACTCAGGTACAACCCATATCCACTGGAGAGCTGATGACCAATTCGTATTCATTTCTGTGTTCAATAAATCCAATGATAATCGTAGCATAATGGTAAGTAACATCAGGTGTCTTAGGTGAATCTCCCTATTATAGGCATTTGATAGTGATGGAAAACTAATCTCAAGAATAAAGAATGAGAAACCATTGGAAGAAAGCTGTGCTGTAAGACCTGTAGGAAATTACATAGCTACTATAGCTCCTCATAGCGGTTAATATCTCTCTTCATCTGCTGACTCTGTTTCACTTTTAGCATCTTCAAGAGAGATTCTATTCTTTGAGAAGAATGGAGAGCTGAGACATACCTATACCTTTCCTTGTGACGGTGCTGCTCCATGCATCGGTGTTAAATGGAACTCAGAAGCTACCATTCTAGCTTTCGTCTACCGACAAGCTGAAAAGGACATAGGCAAGTCAGAATCTCGATATTTAAATATCTATGTTTAGTTGAGCTATGGACCGTTTCTAATTATGACTGGACCCGCAAATGGTCATTTTCTTCGGAACATAGAATTCTTTCTTGGGATTGGAGTATTGAACGAGTGAGTCAACAGATGACCCATCTCTCTATCAGATAATGACTTCAGCCACGCACCTTAATTTTCGCAACTGCTGCCGGAGACCTATTCAATTTGAGCTTTGAACTTGAGTACAGTATAGGAGAATCAATGGCTATTGTTCTAGCTTCAAGTGAGTGAGAAGTACAGTTGCTATCACAGTTCATATTGCAGAAGAAGTAAGAGTGACTGATATGGCTAGACATCCAATCCCTCCTCCAATGTGTCAGTTTTCACTAGCGCTCAACGGATCACCTTCTACGTTCTGCTCAGATAGAGAAAGAGTAACTCTGATCTATGACGATGGGAAAATTGAGACACGTCAGTTAAACTTTATTATATTTCATTTTCAACAAAATGTACAAAATCTTCATCAACAATGGAAAACTTCAAGATCCAAAATAATCTTCTGGGCGTTTTTACAAAACAATCAGCGTGCAAAAGTCTTTTAAAACTTCTTAATTTCATACAACCACCTCTGCGCTCATCTTTATCGTGGCTCGACGCCAATTTATTCCCTGACAGCTTCTGATATGGGAAATCGAGTCATCAGAAGTTACAGTTTTCTTCCGAAAAGCTGGCAAACGGCTTTTACGATCGAATTTGATGCTTTTGAGTTCGCTAAATGATACATGCCTTCTCTGTAAGAATATGTGTAAGATGGGCTAAGATAGAGTACTCACCTTAGGGGGCATTTCTGACTTCTTATAGAACAAACGGCGTTTCGGCCCCGTTTCCGAGATACCGGGTTGCATGTCAAAGGTGTATATACAATTGGAAAGAGCCTTAATGCACTGTTACAAAGAACGGAGACTAATCTGAACTAACTTCGGTACTACGAGCTCTTCTTAATACTGTTGATAATCTGTTGTGAGTGACACTACGAGGGATTTCATACTCAGACGTGGGTCGTGCCTGCAACGAAAACGTTAGGAAGCTTCTGCATCTTCCACTTTCATACCTTCGCAGAGAATTTGCTTAAACATTCATTATTATTATTATTACATTCATCTAAGTATAGTTTCTCAAATGGCCTAATTACATCAGAAATTGTCTCATAAGCAGGACTACTTTCGACTCTCCTGGGAATTTCAACCTGCAATGCGCTTGCCTGTCAGAAAGAAAATAGAAGAGAATCACACTCACAGTCTTGTCAGGAGAGAGCAATAACGTTTTCTCTTCAATATACGTTTTCTCTTCGATATACGTTTTCTGTAGAGCAGTCTCGTTCAAATCAGTTTCTGATTTCTCTTGCTCATTGATCTTCTTCCTTAAGTTTGAGTAGGCAATACTTCGTTTCAACCTTCTTGGAGCGGGAGTCTATAAGCATGAGCTAGTGAACATAAAAAACATCTAAACAAGTTACATGTAAAGAAGAGTAATAGGGCTCTTCTTCCTCTTGGGTTTGAATTATTGTTGAACTGAAATAAGAAAGTTTATAAGTTATTAAGCATTTTCCTCACTTCTTAGCTTTCTTGCTAGAATGATGGCCCAAACAACGAAGCATCTGAAATTGAGCAACAATTAGTCGACTGAATTAGAAGAATACAATGATCTCTATCTTTCTTTGGACTTAAGTACGAGCACATCATCATTTGCCCGCCTCGAGGTTTCTCAGAACTTTTTAACCTCATATAAGAAAAGGCGGGAAGTCTTTTGATCTCTTCGGGCTGTACTTTTGAGACCTCAGGCTACGTTCTCACGAAATTATTTTATGATTCTTCTTAATAATTATGAAGATTCAATTATATATTAATTAATTTTTTGCAATAAAAAAATCACTGATCGCCTAAGACCGCGCTTTTTTCGAATTATGAAACCTAATTAGAATATTACAGATCAACTCTCTCCTAATAGCGATGTGCCTATCTCAACTAAGGTGTCTGCAAGTTTTAGAACATTGTCCTGTACAACTTATGCTGGTAACAACAAGATCGTCAGTGTTCTCGATGGAAGCGATATCGTTGAAGTTGATGTGACTTCAGGCGAAGTAACCAAAGTACACAGGTATTTTTCACATTTCTTTCTCTTATATATGAGAATACAGCAATCTTGATGCTGTCGTATGGCTCGGCTTCTTCTCAAATACAATTCACTTCGCTGACGCAAATGGAAGCTTCTATAAACTTGACGGGTCATTACCCGAAAAGCTATTCCATGTTAACTCATCTGATAGTTACTACTGCGCTGTCGAGAACGTAAGATCTTATCACAAGCTCTTATAATTAAAGTCCGCTTTAGGGAAGTATCTTCGTTCTGACTTCTACACATGAATTGTTCAAAGACGGCCGACTAGTAGCCGACTCTGTGAGCTCATTTGTCGTTGGCAGAAACTTCTGTTTATACACTACTTTGCAAAACAAACTTCTAATCTACAGCGCGGAAGAATGGGTCAAATTAGCAGAGCGTAAGTTCAGATATTTTTTGTAACTTACTTGAAAGAAAAAATTGAAGCTCGAGGATTAGAAATTGGAAGTCGACTAGTTGATATAGCTAGGGAAGGTACTGCTGTCACAATGCAGATGCCTAGGGGAAACTTGGAAACAATCCATCCTCGACCGTGAGAAAGTCTTTATTCTGTAAAATTCTCAAGTTTTGTTTCAGATTTGTTGTTGAAACCTTGCGAAAATTGATAGATGAACTTAAGTATGTTGAAGCTATGAGGCTTATGAAGAAACATAGAATTGATATGAACCTTCTTTGTGATCATAACCCGGAGGTTGTTTTTGAAATACAGTACAGTCATGCTTAATGTTGTTTACAGGTCTTTGTGGATAACATTCAAAAACTATTGAATGGATTAGATGCTGATCTTGTTAACTTGTTTATTGCTAGTCTGAACCAAGATCGCAGTGAGTTTTGTACTGCGGAAGTTCTGCCTGATAAGGTAAACATGATATCTGGAAGTAACATACACAGACTCACATATTGTAGGTGTCATTTATCACTGAAGAGTTATGTAAATACGTTCTTGAATTGAAAGTAGCTGAACGCCTCAAGGTGTTTACAGTTCTACTTTCATCTCTCTTGAAATCAGCACCACCAAGAACTGAAGAAGCTTTGAAATACATAAAAGAACATACTGATGAGAGTAAGTTGAAACGGCATCCTTGACACAACCGTGTTCATTGCGTTTACGTGAAAAAATGAATTTGGTCCCGCGGAGTAATTACCATTTCCCATTTTTCTTAATTGTCGTTTCAGTGAACAGTCTCGACAAAGATTTTCATTCAAGAAAATGGTTGCACCATGTTTCCTTCTTTGTTACTGATGGTTCCATGTTCAATGCAGCTTTGGCAACTTATGATCTATCACTCACTGTCCAAGTAGCTGAAGCCTCCAACAGAGATCCAAAAGAGTACTTACCTCTTCTGAATGAATTGCGAAAGGTAGTCCCATAGGCTATAACTGTTTTTCATTCTTGGTATAGCTTGAACCTGAGGAGTATCGCAAGTACCGAATTGATCTTCTTCGTGAGGATTGGAAGACTGCTCTGAGCAACATCGCCAAAGTGGAAACTCTATTATCTTTCCTATTCAAATTCATTCGTTCAGCTTGACGACCGCTTTGAGGAAGCTGTAGAGCTCGTGAAATCCAAAGGAATATATTCTGATGCTTTGGAAATCTTCTTGGAAGACGACGAGAAGTTCAAGGTAGGAACTCTCTGATGAACTGTGATTCTTGCTTCTTTCAGAAAATCGCCAAGCTCTGTGCTACACATTATGAAACTAAGAGTGCTTTCAATGAAGCCTTAATATTCTTCGAGAAGGCTGAAGACTACGAAAACGTTAGTCATGCTCTGAAGCTTTTATCCATGTTACTTGTTTAGGCTTTGAAATGTTGTATTAGTGTTGGTAGTTTGCCTGCCCTGCAGAGAATCTTCAAGAAAGCTGGTCTTTCGGTAGAAGAAGAGAAGAATCAGTTGAAGAAGTTGGTTCTCATGTTGAAGCAGAAGTCTCGATTTGCAGATGCTGCTGTTGTTTACGAACTTATGGTAATACACTTTCTTATATGACAAGGTAGATATGATTGTAGGGTGCTCATAATGATGCGATTGCTATGCATATTGCTGCTGGACACTGGAATTATGCATCCAACGTTCATTACTTCGATGAAGGTGAGGCATATTTTTCTTTCGACTTGCATATTTGTTGTTGCAGTTGAAGACATAGTCAATCAAGAAGCTCTCAATCACGTTGAGACTATCGTCAGAGAAATCATTTCTTACGAAAGCGATTTTGCAAGGTAAAAGGTTTCATTGGTTTAGTTCTCACTTGCTGATTTCAGATTCGTCAAACGCTTAGAAGTGGTACGAGAAACTAAGGAGAAGCTGCTACAAAACTTGAAGGATGGCATCGAAACTGGGCGTGATCTTGAGGTTCGAATATTCAATTATTGTCAGTTCAATAACAATTTTCAATTTTGCAGGATTGTGATGCCTTCTCAGAAGCTGCATCGACTTTATCAATGATCAGTAGACGAACAGGAAGGACAACAAGCAGTCGAGCAAGCACAACAGCAACAGTCAGAAAGAGGAAGCAGGTACCCAATTACTCAATATTCTCTGAAAATGGTATATTATCAGATTGATCGTAAGAAACAATCGTTGAAAGAAGGAGGAGAGTATGAGGATTCAGCGATCTTACTCACTTTGAAGAAACACTATGCTTGGGCCAATAAAACTGCAGGTAAACGAGCCTAAGTAGAAGATTTGTAGTACTGCTCTTCAGTTACTATCAAAACACTCTCGGTGTGTCTGCTGCGTTGTCTGAAAATCCGCGAAGCGAAGCTATTGCAAGATAAGTTCAGCAAATTCCGAACACTTCTCCAAAATCAGAAACACCATGTTTGGCCTAACAGATGGGAGCCAAAACATCTCGCCGGTCCTGTGTATGCTTTGGTTAGTGTGAAGTCAGAAGCCATCATAATCAGTTTTTTTCTTTTTCAGTATTCAGTGGACAATGTTTTCAGCTTCCCTCCGGAAGGAGGAATGCCTAGTAGTATCGTCCTAGGTATGTTAGCGCTTCACATTTGTTATGGACATTCCTTTTACAGAGCCTGAACTTATCGCACCAGAGCTCGTCGATGAAGAAGCTTTCAAAATTCATTTATAATTTAATGTACAATTGTTCTTGTTGAATTTGGTTGTTGACGTTTGAATACACTTTATATGGAAGCCGTATATAGCTTGTAGCTTGCTACTGTTATCCCAACAGTGTTATATCGGAAATCTTTCTGTTCTCGTCAATTGTTAATTCAGAAGCTTACAGAGAAAGCAGAAGTTCCAACATCTGTGAAATCTCAGTTGAATAACCCCCAAAAAAGGAATCGGTGAAACTGTACATTTCTTCAAGCTACACTCTTCTAAGGTTAGAGACGCAGTGTATGCGCTATCGTAGAGCAGTGTCTGAGAACTTGTATATAGATTTGATATATTCTTGTGCACCTTTCTTTAGTGGTTAGTGATTTGCTTGTACCACAAGTAAGCTTTACTCTGATTCAGACACTGATAGAGTTCGAACTGTATTCGAGAATTCGGACGTTTTAATGTCTTTACATTGATTTTAATTAATATTTTCGCTTATCATTCTCCGAAAAATCTCGAAAAAGCATTCTTGACCATTGCTCAGCCTTTTTTTGTTCAGAATGTTGAAATATGTCCTGTTATGGGCATCGATGCTACCTCTCATTCAAAACCAACAACAGTTCATGATGAAAGAGTAGGTCTACTTTCTCTGAATTTTGTTTATTTCTTTTAGTTGTAAAAACGGGCATTGTCACAACAAAGGAGATTGTTTACTTTGTGAATATCCAGACAATTGTAAAATGGGAGAGATACTAACAATCAGATGCACTTCCTTATGCGAATCAGTGGAGTCTGAACATCGGGAAGCGTATTGCAGGTATACGAGCCTAACCAATTATTCTTCTATGTTCTTCATAGTTATTGCTGGCAGTTGGATCCGTCATTATATGATTGTGAACCTGTAACTAACTGCACCACCACCAGAACAGGCTTGGTTAAAACAACTTGCGAGGTACTATACATTTTTCGTTTTCCTTATTTGCTCTTCTTGCTTATAGGTGAAAGATGGTATTCATTGTAAAGGGAATAGACTGTTTTCAAAGAAAGTTCGGTTGGGTTTCATTTGGTACTCAGTAGTTTCATTTCAACTCTTTTGAAGGTGTAACTGGTCGTCAGGGTTCAGCTGGACTAAAGCCATGCTCTACTCCATAACTCTCGGTAACATCCAAGCCAAACTATCTTACTTCATATTTTGCTTTTAGGCGGGTTTGGGGCTGACCGATTCTACTTAGGACTGTGGAAGTCAGCGATCGGAAAGTTATTCTCTTTTGGTGGATTAGGCATATGGACGGTCTTAGACATTATACTGATAGCCACTGGATACATTAGACCAGCAGACGGATCGCTTTACATGTAAATCCGATCTCAGATTTTTGAATATACGGGATGCTTTTGTTGAGAAACTCACAAAAATAAAAACTAAAACCCCTCTAGCCATCAAACAACTTGCGTTTTCATCTTAATTAGAATTTCAAAAATTGTGAAGCTTCGGCCAATTATTCAATTGCCCACGCTCAACCGATTACTACTGCGCAGCCTGGCAAAATGAAAAATAGCGCCAACGTCACAGGCTGTTGATTCTGTGATTGAATTTACAAGCACCGATTGAGCAGCTTTTGGACAGAATAGTTTTCTAATGGTGGGAAGCAATAGGAATAGGCGAATAGTGCTACGGATCTCAGCTTTTAGTTTCTCAAGTGTTAGCTAATATGCATGAAAACAGAGATATAGATAACGATTTTATAAAATCATCAACCAACAAAACAATTACAACTCGGATTGGGCCTTGCGGATGCTGGAGGCAATACGGTCCAAGTCTTTTCTTCCCTATAATCACGATTTCAGTACAATAATACAATTTAACAGTTTACCTGGCTAGAGAGGATACGTCCCTTTCCATCGGGGCCCTTCTCAACCCACTTAAGGAATTCGAGGGTCTGGAGAGCTTTACGGATAACGCTTCCGGAAGCCTTGGTGAAATGGCTGGGGCGGACACCACGCTTGAGGGCACCTCCGTAGGCGCTCTTCAAAGCTCCGACTCCTGAAATAATGAACATTCAACAAAGTTTATTAGAAAAAAGACGTACCGGTTGGAGAACGGAAGTAAAGGCGACGAGCAACGCTGGCGGTACGGATGAAATACCAGTCTTGGTCGATTGGAGCAAGTTGTCTGTTCTTTCCCAACTTAACAAGATCAGCCCACTCTGGGACCTTAACCTTTCCGCTCTTCTTTAAGAATTGAGCGATTTGCTTCACAATTTCGTGTTGGTCTACATCCTTAACACTTGTGGCCTTCATTATTTTACCTTCAAAAATATGCAAATAAGTAAAATTTCTTTTCAAAACATCATCAACAAGAAATTGAAGAGGAGCAAATGAAGAAGAATTTGAAGTTAAAAAGCACTTACGCCTAAGAAACTGAGAAATCACATAATTTGCATGTCTCTATCAGCTCACAATACAAATTTAAAGATAAAAAACAACAAAATAACAACCACCTTTGACTCGAAATTTTGAAATTTTTTAGGCAAAATCTGCTAGATAGAGCCGAAATTTTGAGAGTACTGTAGGTGGGCAGAACATCTACTGCGCATCAACTGTTCCCGCGCTTTTTGGCTGCCTATCCGATTTATGCGCTTTTTGTCAGAGACGCAGAGTGCGTTCAGCGTGCCAAGCATACTTCAGACTAGAAGAAACTGCGCGCCAAGCATTTTTTTTTGATTTAAGGTATATAAATTGTTTTTTTAACTTAATGTTCTTTTTAACTTTTTCAAATATTTATATTTTTAAAGTGCATTGAAAGTATATAACCCTAAGAGAAACTGAAAAACGTGAAATGATTCAATTATAGAAAACTTTCGTAGATAATTCAAAGATCACTCTAATTTGTTGTTATTTATTGGAATCTTTTAGCTTCTATTGCTCGTTTCCCATTCGGCAATTTATTTTTATGACAAAAACTTTTTTTTAATTTCTAGGCACCTGGCATAAGTCTTTTAAAGGATGTCAGAGGACACAGGTCGGTTGCATTCCATAACAAAATTTCAGTGTTCTATTCTAGGGTCTTCGACAGAGGCCACATCAGTAAGTAATGGGTAAGTATTATGCATTTTGAAGCTTTTTTTCATTCTTTTTTTTCTGTAGAAGTGGCTTGTCAATGATTCACATGCGAGGTGGTTTATTCGGAAAGTCCGCTGCCACTTTAAATGTATAGTTCCGTTTTGATTGAATGATTCTGATTGATTATTTGAAGGATGAAACGACCAAGAATTTGAGTACTTCTATTGTATCGGAGAAAAGCTCGTCTGAGTCTACAGGTAGGGCTTCCCTCCGAAAAGCAAAAGTTATTTTCATTGGTTTCAGACAATAAACTATGTAATGATGAAAAACGTGATGAAACCAGTAACGAGAAAGCTGATGAGGTACGTTATTTACATTTGTTTTCTTTTTTATATTTTGAATTCTTATAGTCCCAGTCTAAACTAGACGATTCTGTGAAAATAGCTAATGAAGGTTGTAGTTTTCTTAAAGTTCCTCATGAATCACCTTAATATTCTTAGATAATAAGTCGACAGAATCACATTCCGAAGAGAAAGAAAACGCTAAATCTGATAGTGTTGATGATCAGCAAGCGAATACTTCTTCAGCTGATAATGATAACAATACAGCTGATCTCGATGAATCTATGTCAGCTAAAGATAATTGCGTAGAGGCAGAAACTAATGCTGAAGACTCGCTCCTCATTAATGCACCAGAAGAAAGTCATTCTGAAAACGATACTGAGTCGCAGGAAGATCAGTCACAATCGCAGGATCAACAGGAAGAGCCTGACTCGACTACCCCTGAACAAGCAGAACACGAAGAATCTTCTAAAGCCGACGAAACACAAGATTCCAGGGATGAAGATCTAAGTGATCATGAAGAAGAATCTCCAAAAGCAGTAGTTAAATCACCCGGTCGCAGGTACGCTCACTTTTTTCTCACTATTATACTGACTGGTTTGATAGCAGGGGAAGACCACCAAAATGCAAAGAAGTTAAGAAAGCAGAAGTTGAAGTAGAAGAGCCAAGTACTCCAAGAACACTACGAGCTAGAAATACCGAGGTAATTTTTGTTTTTTTGTTGTTTTGATCATCTCTTCGTATCTAGCCCGTAACTCCCAAAGTTGTAAAAACTCCAAATGTCAAGTCTGAAAGCACAGGAAAGAGGGTTGGTTTTCCATAATAACCTCACTATTCTTAAATTTGCATGTTTAGGGAAGACCTCCAAAAAGGATTCAAGTAGTGTCTAGCCCAATGAGTACTAATGCTCGTAGGGGTAGGAAGAAGAAAGAGGTATGTTCTTTTTTTTTTTGTTTTTGAGCTTATTGTTGTGATATCAGGAGACTGAAGAAGTTTCTGAAAAGTCTGATGAGGAGGAGGATGAAGAGCAAGAAGCTGATGTTTCGGCTACAACGGAAATTGAAGCGGAGACTGAACCTGAACCTGATACTGAAACAGAGAATGAAGCTGAAACTGATGCAGACGCTACAGAAACTGTTGATTCAGACGATGAAGTTGAGAAGCCAAAGGTTCAATCTACTAAGTTTCTGTAAATAATGTTCCTTTTCTAGAAAACTCGTCGAGGTTCTTCGAAACAAACCGTTACTCCGAAAACCCCACCCAGGTCTGCGGGACGTCCAAAACGCAATGCTGCTGCGTCTGCAACTGCTCCCAAGGTCGAAAGCCCTGCGAAAGCACCCAGCAGAAGACCATCCCGCCGTGTTTCAACGCTGCCAGAATCGACTGCTACTCCGAAAAAAAGTGAGTCGACCATTTCAAAAGCAAATTCTTGTGTTTTTTGTTGTAATGCTAATCCCGGCTATTACAGAAGTTGAAGTCAAAGTTCCTGCCAGTGCTCCTCCTGCTAGAAAGGCTAGTAAGCTTAATCAGAAAGACCCCTACGATTTCTCTCCAGAACAGGAAACTCCGCCAGTTTTCTTCAAAAACATTGAGGTAATTGCTGATTTCTTTTTCTCGTCATTCAAGTTTTTGATTATTTAGATGAAGTTACAATCTTTCGGTGATGTCACTTACAGTCGTGTAGGTACTGGAAAGTATGAAAACACTGAAAAAGCTGCAGAAGCTAGAGTTTCCAATTTGGTTGATTTGGTCCCAGCTCAGAAGTCGAAAAAAACACTCGCGGAATTGACACCGAGGAGTGCCAAGGGAAAGAAAGAAGAAAAGACTACTCCAGCAGCTAAAGCCGAATCTGAGTCTCCAAAACAAGCAAAAACACCGAAAGCAACTCCCGGACGGAAGCGAAAGTGAGCATTTTTCTTCATGAAGGATCATTTACAAGTACCATTGTACAGACAGGGTGATTCGCTCGTTACCAGCTCTCCGAAGAAAGCAGCAGTTTTGACTCCAGTACTAGATGATCGCGAACAGTGGGTAGTTGATCATCCTGATGATGAACATCTCCCATATGAAGCTGGTGCACGTGTTTACGCAGTATTCAACAAAGTTCTCTATCCAGCAATTGTTCTTAACTCTGGGTAAGTGCTGAGTGGATTTCTATCTGTTTATATTAATTGATTTAGCAAAGATAGTCTTGGTCGCTACAAAGTTCAGTACGTCTCTGATAAGGTAGTGAAAGATGTGCCTAACGAGGGAATTATTCCTTTAAGAGCTGTAGTAGCGGATAAGCAGGTTTTTCTCATTCTTGCAAATTGTTTTATTTTACCTGTCGTTTAGTGTGTCGCCCAAGTTGGATCAGATTGGATGGAGATGCAAATCGTACAAGCTCCAAAAGTTGATGATGTTGACGAATGGAAGAAAGCTGTTTTCACGTTGACACCGGTGGACGAAGAAGACAAGGCCGAAGTTACTACTGACAAGTACGCCAATAATTGATCTAATCTTTATCAAATTTTTGTTATTAAAGGTATAGCTGGACTTCTATCAACCTTGATAGCTCAGATTGGAGGGACTACATTGCCAAAAAATCTCGAGAAGTCACTGAAGTCTTAGTCGGTGAGTCTTTGTTTCTCAATTCACTTCTTAATATTGAGCTTTCAAGATAATATCTCTGCCGGAGACAACAGAACCTCCAGACGGTCTCGTGGAGCTGAAAAGGTTAATTCATATACGCCTGCCAAGCCCGTTACTGGGAAAAAGAGTAAAGTTAGAGAAGAAGAAGTAATGGAAGTTGACGACGCTTACGGTGAGAGAGAAATATTTGTGCCAATGTACTATATATATCTGCAGATGATCCTCCACGTGAAAAATTCGAACCAATATTCAGTGGAAAGATCTTCATTCTGACATCAGCTCAAAGAGGTTCTGATGCCACAGGGTTCAAGAAGAAGCTCATGAGTGAATTCATTGAACAATGTCATGGAGTGGTTGTCGAAGATTTCATGGTTAGTCGAAGGATTAGATTGAATGAATTATATCCGCTTGTTCAGGCCGTAGAGGACCAGAGAGAGCTTGAACCATTCCTGATCTCTGACACCTGCTATCGTACTCATAAATACTTGTCGGCTTTAGCCCGTGGAATTCCATGTGTGTCCCATGAATGGATTGAAAAGTGTAGAGAAGCGGTAAGATGCTTCAGAAATTTCCTTATTTCATATCATTCTTCAGAAAACCCTCGTGGATTACGCTTCATACCTTTTGCCGGCTGGAAAATCCATACTGGATGATCAAATGTATCCTTTGTATGTTTCAAAATCCATTTGATCGACTCACTCATATACTTGTTTAGACCGAAAAATCAAAGAACTTTGTTGAAAGACAAAGTTGTTCTTGTACATTCAACTAACCGTCCTGCAACACCCCGAAGTCTCAACTTTTACCAAATTTGGCAACCAATGGTGAGCTGGTTGGGTGGAACTCCTCTGAACGAAATACCAGAGAACAGTACGTCTTTCGTTAGAACTTCTTCTTTAAATCCTAGCTTTCCAGTCGGAATCATAGATTTCATATTAGCTGATAACTCAGCTTCCCCAGAGTTAATAGAGTTAGCCGTTGAAAAGGGAATATCCATTGCTTCATCAGAATGGGTCATTCAGGTAAGCTGGAGTATTGACAATAGAGACTTAGGTTCATATGCTTCAGGCTATAATTATGGATAAGCTACCTAGTTTGGACTCTCATCCTCGTTTCCGATATGATGTCAGCGCGTCTAACCATTCTTAATAACCTAAAAATAACTTATTGTGTGGACTTGTTTGTACATAGTTAATCTAAGCGTCTCCTCAACAGGCATTGAAGTTTTACATGTAATTTTGAATACGTGAACTTATAGATCTCTCCTTTCCCCTCTCTTCAATTTGCAAAACTTGATAATATTAGTCTATAGCATTGTTAAATTCCACTGGTGGTCTAGTTCAACGTTAAGACTGCAGCGTATTATTGGTTCATCTCATTTCTAGAGTTACTTAACTCACGGGAAGGTGCTTAACTATTTTGTTTCTTTTATTAATAAAGCTCTTTCCTACCGTCATCTCCTCTCTCTCTATCTCTCTCTCTTAGTTTGGACTAACACGCGGTGACGGTGAAGATGGGGGTGTGGTTAATTCTTGAATTCCAAATTATGTGAATGTTCCTTATATCTTATAAACCTTCATTATCAACATTCATGTCGTTGTTATCTTGTACTGCTTCATTCCCACCTGCCCTGTTTCTGTTTTGGTCAGCTCTCTGAAAATTCCAATTTGATGAAGTCGAAAGATTTTTGATTACTCGTCGAAGAAATACTATTCGATTCCACGGGTCTCTGAATGAAAAGATTTCAAACGCATTGAAAGTGTAGTTTGCCTGTTGATGAAGTCCTCAGTAGATCTCTGTTCGAGACTGAATTGCCAATTTTCCATCTAATTCATTACGTCACCTTCAAAGTTTATTTTAGAAATCACCTGGACAGGATAAATCATGTGGCGAATGAGCTTGGCAGTATTTCTGTTCCAACATGGATCTTCTATTCCGAATGTGGAACTTTCTAATCGGACAATCTGTTCTGTCTGATTAAATAAACAGATGAATGGAGGATCAACCTTGCGTTTGGTCCATGACTCAAATTGCTGACAGAGAGAGAGCCTAATGTGATTACCATATAATGTGAGCGTTTCTAAAGTTGGAGGTATCAGAAGCTCTACTTGTTGCCAGAAGAAGGATCTATCATATTTGTGAACAAAAAGCGAAAGTTTCTTTAGTTTCGATTTTCTAAATTTTGTAACATTTTGATTTTCTTACTCACAGAGTGAACCTGAAGTCTATGGGCGCCACGTCGGGAAAAGATTTTCTATCGGTGAAACAGAATAAGGACGGTGGCAACGACAGCTCCACAAGAGTCTCAGATTTATCTGCGCAGAAAGCAGAAATTGAACTTCAGCGCATTTCCACCAGCTTACTTATTTCTCTCAACATATCGATTGTATTCTTAGTGTCTGTCAGTACTCCTTTTATATCCAAAACTGTGAGATGGGGCAGGAGCAAAATGTATTTCACAACTGCTGGATATAATACGATGCCCGTCAAAACTACTTGCGAAATCGATTGGGGGAATAGTTTCTAAAAAGACATTAGAGGTTGTCTGTCCTATCAGTTGTTATACTATTGCATGATTCATTTTCAATTCGGGAGCTGTGCTCAAATTCTGATTAACTGGCTGAAGTATTTCAATAGATTGTAAATTTGGTAGCTGTATTTCATCCAAGTTCAAACTCATGTTTCTAGTATATGTGAGTGAGAAAGGGCTATCAGGAAGGAACAGACCTATGGAACGAAAAGGAAGAAAGATAAATAGAACGGATATTCTGTAGATATGGTTGGAGTAATGCAACGTCATCTTGGCAGAGTTCATACTGAATCCATAGAGAGCGTATGGCTCGGGAAAAATCAAATAGACTAGAGAGCTTCAGCTTTAAATCCTAAAATCAATCCAAAGTTTAATTTGTCGTTATTTCATCACCTCTCGATCTTCGTATTTCACAATTTGTGTTAGATGTTTGGATATGATGGTCATTTGGTCATAATCCAATAGGAGGCCGTGTATATCGCACCACCTATAACGCTTTTACAATGCTCATTCATTTCGATTATAAATACTTCAATGCTGTTACACTAAGATAGTCATTTCGAAATCCTATCTCTAAACGTTTTTTCAAATCGAACCAACTGAAAATTTCCCAGAGAACGTCATGATGGCTCATCGAACGTTCGCGACCGACCGGGTCCGATAACAAAAAAAAATATAAATGAGATGTCATTGTAAGCTTTCACGTGACACTGATGTGACTCTCTTATTCTCTACTGATCACTACTACTTCCATAACTTGTTGTAACCTTTCTGATCTACATTCCCATCAACTAGCTTCCTTCAGGTGTTGGCGCGTTTAATAAAAATTGAAAGAAATTCAGTCGAAATGGTCTCGAAACGGTTCGAAATTCTGCCTAATTTGAAAATTAATAATCTTGCAAAAAGCATCATGCTAATTCCTTTTCATAGAAATCCAGGACAGACGCAGTATTTTATATTTTCAGAAGGACCAAAGGTCACAGGAATGCGATGTTGGACGAGTTCGATAAATTGAGTATCTCAGGTCTGTTTCATATTATATTGGAACAAATAAAACTTCTCTATTCTAGGAACCGGTGGAAATGGAACTTCTACAGCGAATGAAGAAGGATCAAGACTGGACCGTTTCAATAATACTCGTAAAGAACCGGCAAAGCAACGAAGGGACGAAGTAAGCCCTGTATCGGGAGGACCTTAGACAAACTGTTTCTTGCAGCTTGTTTTGACTACTAACTTGTATAAAATTCAAACTGAAGACCGCCTCATTTATCGATACGATGTTCATCATACTCTGGTGATTAAAAATGGAGGGATCACGAAGAAGGAAATAGACCTGACTCCGACGAAAGCAAAGTCCGATTCATAACAGTTATCTGACATCTCTTTCTTGTTGCAGTTCTGACGTTCAACGTAATACTATAAGACTAGGGGCTTTGAACCGTGTCATAACCAGTAACCAGCTTTTATCTGATATCAACGATTACTGTTATGATGGAGCTGCCACGATGTTTTCTGTGTCGGAAATGAATTTCTCAGGGGTGCAGCCTTATATTCTGTTTCAAATCTCAACGCTGTCGTGATTTCAGCAGAAAGTTTTTGAAATTGATGCGAAGGACCTAGCGTATGTAGAACTGTTGTTCAAACGAAATGCAGACGACACCCTCAACATTAGAGTTGCGTTGAAGTCTGCTGGATCCCCTTTCAGTGTAGGCGATGACAAAGTCGATCAAAGTAAGCTGCAATGAAAAACATCTTTATGTTTGTGTCAGATATCCGTAAGCAGTTCCTTGAAATAGTTACAAGCTTCCCATTGTTGAGGTTATCTTGTTTCTATTCCATTCTCTAACAGTAAGATTATAGAGGAAACTTCTTCGAGATGAATTCTTCCCTTATCGCTTTCCAATTGCCACGAGAAATGTTGCGTGACCTCACCCATGGGTTGGAATCTCGATGCGGGTTATCCAAATCTGTGAAGTGGTGTTACTTCTCTTATCAATCTTTATGAGATTTTTAGATTCACAGAAGGACAGGAAGGAGGACCTTCACGTAGTCCAGTGCCTCATCTGAATTTGGATGGTTAGTTCAAGTTATGATGGTGTTGACCAAAGTTCTGGTTTAGTGTCGAACAGTGTGTTCTACCAACCTTGTAGCGCTATGGGTACTGCTAAGGCGATCTGTAAGAGATACTCACCTAGAGATCGCTTCCTCGTATGCTTCGATCAACTGGATTCTTTCTTTAAAGGTATGATACTCCTTCAATATAATTGTAATCACATCATTGAAGAAATTAAAATCGTTTATGATTACAACGGTAAACAGTTCCAATTCAAAGCTAGTGGAACAACGCAAAAACCCTTGAAGGATCTAAGCATGGATCAAGAGTAGAGTTTCTATTTTGTGTAGTTTTGTAATTCTCTCTTGATAGTGGGAAGAGAGTGAGATTTGTGGATATGCTTGAAGCTCGAGATCGTGAAAACTTTGACTTGAATTTTCCCGCTGTTATCATGAAGAAGATGTTCAAAGGGTTTGATTGTCACTCATTTGGCATTAACCTTATTCCGTATTTCAGAAAACTCAAAGAGTATTTGTTCCCTCTGGAGCAGCTTTACGTCGCTGATTTCCAAAAGCTTCCGATTGCAAAAAATTGTATAGACCCAGTCAGTTCTCGTTTTCCGCACAGTAACGCCATGTCTATTGCAGCCTGCCGCTTTGAAAACCGAAGTCAGGATTCGTGTAGCTCAGCAGTATATGGCGGAGTTGGGGATATCTAACCCCAAGAGCTCCTTCCATGGTTTCTTGAAGAAGTTTCATAATTTTCAAAGTTATCTCGTGAGCCTCGAATTTTCCAGCTTTGGTGTCCGTATTGCGATTAACGAAGTCAAAGTTACTGGTTTCAAGAAGATGAAGCCTAAAATTGTGTATAACTCCAATAGAGAGGTTAATCCTAGAACGGATAACGTGAGAAAGTTCAGCTGACCATACCTTCATTCATCTATCTCAGGGAACTTGGCGTATTGATGATCGAGAGAGATACATTGTACCTGGAAAATGCAATACAATATTTTTTGCCTACAGATGTGATCCCAAGCTTGCCAAGTAAGCTCTCATAAGTTTGGATCACTGTTGCTACCTTGTTTTCAGGGAGGCAAGTGAGGCTATAGTGTCCTTGTTGAAAGCTAGAGGATTCATCTTCAATAGTTTCCAAGGTGTTGGAATCAGAAAATTTTCGGATTTGGAAGATGTGAGTTTTCTCAGTTGATTCAGCTGCTCATAGAAAGCTTCCAGTTGTTCATCTCCGCGAAATCAACTACTGATTTCAATTTTATTGTTTTCTTTGATGCAAAGTTTAACAAAGATCATGGTAACACCTTTCTCTCATCTAGCATCATCGAGCTTCTTTCAGATCATTTGAAGTTGATTGAAAGAGAATTTCAAGTCGCATCTCAACAAATCGTGAACGAGGTTGCTATGACTTTAATGAAGTGCGTTCCCCAAGAGCAAAACACTTATTGTAATTTCTTGTTTCAGAAGACCGAACACCCTTTCGAATATTGTTAATAAGATCAATTTGAAATGCGGTGGCTTGAACCATTCCATCATTCCCGACTCATTCAGGTGAGCAAGTTGTAAGCAAGCAAGACCTCCTTAAAACGCACGAATTTCAGTCGGAACAGATGGCTTAATAAAGGAAATATGTTGGTGATGGGGTATGACGTCGCTCATCCAACTGGTAATCTTAGTAGAGCAGAGAAGTTTGGTGAATTAGTGACGCCCAGCGTTGTTGGAGTTAGTTATTTGATCATTTGATTCTGATTAGCTTTCCTATTCCAGTTTTCATGGAATGGAGCTATTCATCCAGAAGGATTCGTTGGAGATTTTGCTTATCAAGAACCTCGTCGAGAATCTGTTAGTTTGTGATTGTGATGATTAGTTTTGATCATTACTCTCAGGTGAACGCGAATCTTTTAAACACATATGTGAAGTACATGTTGGCGATGTTCACTGAAGCGAAACCGTTGCCACAGTATTTCATAATTGTGAGAGATGGTGTTTCTGAAGGCCAATATGCTATGGTATGTTAATATTACAAGTTGTACATCACCAATCCTCTCGCTTCAGGTTCTCAGGGAGGAATTTGAATGCATCAAGGAAGCTTGTGAGGAATTTGCACGAATTAGCAAAACTGACTGGATTCCGAAGTTTATGATTTTCGTCGTAACGAAACGTCATAACGTACGGTTCTATCAAAATAAAAATGGAGGTGTGACAAATCTTTTCCTATATTTCTACGATTCCCCCTGAAGGACTTGGCAACTGTGAACCGGGAACAGTCGCAGACACTGTTATTGTGAAGAGGGACGTGTCAGAGTTCTACATGCTCTCACATAGAGTTGTGCAGGTGAGAACTGAAACCTTGTTCTGGAACAGTTTTATCTATTTTCAGGGAACTGGCAAGTTTCCCTCATATCAGATTCTCTTGGATGAAATTGATATGAGTATGGATGAAGCTCAATCATTGATGCATACTCTGACATATAACCATCAAGTAAGTTCATCCATAGGCTCCAGATCTCATGCGCATGATTGATAGATCATCGAAGCTCCTATTTCTCTTCCGGAGCCTGTGTACCAAGCAGATCGTTGGGCTGACAGAGGTTCCAGAATTTTCAGAGCTTGGCAGTAAGTTAGAAAAAGATGATCATGTTAAAATGACTTTGAAGAGAACAATATAAAATTCCGCGAACGAAAGATGGAGTGGTTGATTTTGCCCGGCTCTCGGAGATGTTGAGCTATCGGAACACGCGACTGGCGAAAACCAGGATAAATGCTTAATTCAGTAATAAAAATGTCAGTTACGTATAAATAGTTTTTTTTTTCGAATTATGAGCTTCTTCTTTAAAATTCACGGAAAATACAACTTTCAACAAGAGCAGAAAAATGAATTAGTACAGCACGATTTCCCGTCGAAAGATAAAAATAAAAAGAATATGATCACGAATATTAAAATTTTAGTTTCGATGAGGTTAAACCTGATGGCGGCCCGCTTCAATCATTCCTAATACAATGGCTTCTATAATTCGGTTCTACGAGAATGAAATACCTGAGAAGCATCATCAATATCATTTGGTTTAGCCATCCAAACCTCTTCAGCTATTGTACCATATTTACAAACTTTTCTGACTTTGGTTATTTGTCGTTCTATAGCTGCTAGCTCTTTCTCAACGCGCCTCTCTGAAGCACAATAGGATGAGGTTGATGAGTTTTACTATTAAATACCTTCATTCCTGATTTTCTCTAGCTCTTTAGCATGAGTTTCCTTTTGTCGGAACAGCTCATCTGTTTCTTTAAGTACAAGCTCCTTTAAAGAAACGATAATCGTTGTTCAAAAGTTATGAACACTCACATTCAGGTAACTCTCACTTGCGCACTCGGAATACTTGTCGAGTGTATTTGAGGATTCCCCTCCTACGTTGTTTTCATCATCTGAATCATCGAACCCGCAATTGTCTAACGCTAACTCTTCAAATCGGATCTCCATCAACGATAAAGCGGATCGCTGTTGAGGATCATCATACTTGTACCTTAACCCACATTTGCTGTTTCTTCAGAAGACTATCAAGATTCCGTACCTCTTAGTTGCTTCCTGTAGATCTTTAATTTTTCCCTCAGCTTCTTGTAAAACAGTTTCCATACTAGAAAGGGCGCCCGCTCTGATTTTCTGGTATCTTTTTTCTAGAAGAATATCAGACAAGACTACAATTGTAATGCCAACCTTTGCGAATCTTCTCTACAGCTTTGACACAAATTTTCTCAACGTTATGAACGGCATGGTATAACATTCGATATTCTGGAAATTGGAGAGATCAGACCAAATACGCAATTACCTTCTCTTAAAGGTGTGTCAGCAGGAGATGGCGCAGCTAGAACTTCCCCGAACAGTTTCAAATGCAATTCATATATCTCATTTATCAATTTCGCCACTTCAGGATCGATTTCAGATTTGTTCAAATGCTTTGTTTTCTCAGTCTGAAATCTTGCTGAGTTTGCTTCAAAGACTACACACAAAGAAAACCTTTATCGGCTCGCTATTCTGCTGATCTGTTTCTAGTTCTTCCACCTTTTCCTGGGATTCTGATGATTTACTTGTACGACTGCTAGTTCGTCGACGAGCCATTTATTTGTCAACCGCCCTTTCCTTCTTTATGATTATTCGATTCTTATAGAGAAAAAGAGCTATTGGAAGCTTCTGCCCCACCTTCCGTCCTAAAAAGCAAAATTTACTGGAAAATTCAAAATTTTGCGTACTGACGTCTGAACACAAACATCACGTACCCGACAAACACAAGAAAATTTTTGTTTCTGATCTTCCCTAGAGTACAACCATAGAATAGCTGTTATCTGGTGCCAACTCTGCTCTGTTCTCAAAAGCTATTATCGGGGACCAACTCTGTAATCTTTTCTTCACACTTTTTTGCTTATTCAGATGGCTTGTCATGATGTCAGGAATCTTTATTGAATGAACAACAACGTAACCACTAGCTATTGGAAGCTTCTGCCCCACCTTCCGTCCTAAAAGGTGATTGTGAACTATACATTCATGAGGGCATCAAAATCATGCGCTTTCGTGATCGAAATCATGCGTCATCGAAATCATGCGCTTTCGTGAGAACGAACGACTGTTAAGAATTCAAAAATGGAAGTAACACTCAGAATGAAGAAGGGTGAGTCATCTTATCTTTAATATTCATTCTATCAGCCCTTATCAAAATCGTATTTAAGGACGTTATCATGTTCGTCCAAGCTCCTTTCTCCATTCTAAGTTCGTCTATCAACCTTCAAGTCTTCTCGGTGTAGATACTCACA